CAACCTTATAAGAGTTCTAAAAGGCAAGAAAATATATTACAATTAGGAGACTAAATTTCAACAAGATTTTGTCTTCTTTATTCAACTTAGTTTTCTTAAACCCTAGGTTAATATTCTTCTAGTCCAAGTCAAATACAGCTCTTCAAAAGATTCCTATTTGAGTCATATTCCTAGCAGTCTGATCTATTCCCCTCGATGAAGTGATAAAAGAGTCAGAGCCTGTTCTTTTGCTTAAAATAGATGTTCAAAGCTGGGAGTATCACGTGCTTAAGGGAGTGAAAAATTGTTGTCAAGAAAGAAAGGTGAAGCCCCTTACCTAATATACGAGAAAGATGAGAGTTTGTTGCAAACAAGTAACATCAGTGACAAGGAGATCCGGGATTTCTTCACAGTTTGGGCTATCATCAATGCACTCAACACGTTACAGATGCACACTGCATCAAAACAAAGTGACATTTTCGTTCTTTGAAAAGTATCTTTACATGAAGGAAAAAGAATAAACTGACATATCAGAGTTCTCAGTATGTTGTGGAACCATGTGGTTTGAGGACTTTGTGATGCTGGCTATTCGTCAAAATCTCGCAAGCATACGGGTTTATTATACAAGTAATAATTGTGATGAAAAAGTTATCGTGCCACAGAGAATAATGTCTAATTTTAGTGTATTTGATGTAATTAAATTCGTGTTAGTAACCAAAAATTGATTTTTGTCTGAATAGCTAATTAAGTTCTATAACTAAAAATTTCAAAATTAATGAGAATTTGTTTTAAAATTCAGATGAGTAAATGTATTGGATTTCCGATGCCACTGATCAATTCTTAGTTCTAATTCTCAACCTATGACATTTATCTCAACTCATGCAATTGTGATAATTTCACTTTTATTTATTATTCTTTCCCAAGATATAATAAACCTATGGTTACCACGAGACGATCCTATTCCTAATCCGAATTCATATGGCAAATACGCATTGATATGTAAAATTATCACACATAATCGCACACGCCACAAATATTATTCCTAACATTCATTGTCCATGTGTTCCAATAACAGTGTTTTACCTACCCGTGAGTTTTCCCATACTACGTATAAGCAACTTCTTGTCCTAATGGTGCACAAACGTTAAAGCACTATGGATATGCATTTTAAATGAGCTACAACACAAGAATTAAGATAAAAACATAAGGTCTTGAATTAAAAACTAAGAATCAATCAATTTTGTCATTTATCTAATATAAAGATATTTAGCCTAGCATATTAATGTAGGAAATACATGAAAAATAAAAGAATGACATCACCCGAATCATGAAAGTATGAAAAGAATCTGAAATCCTTCAGTTTATGCCTTCAATTCCGAATCCAAGTGATAAAGTCTTTTTCTTCAATGTATATATCTCTCTTTCTCCTCTTTGTCGGCTTGCCAGATGATAGAAAAATTTGGTTCCCGTGTTTTAGCCGATTCTTGGTATAAATATGGTGCAAAAGACTTTCCAAAACAAAATAAGGAAACATAATTCTTTTGTTGGAGTTGAACCATGCGTACGCATGGTTCATTTGGTGCGTATGCATGTAGCCTCAATTGAGTTTCGAAAGTTCAATTTCCCAACCGTGTGTACGCAAGGCCTGCAGGCCCATGTGTACACATAGTTCAATTATTTTAAGGGCCAATTTGCAACTTGATCCCTAAACTTTCTGAAGTGCGTGTTTTGGTCATTTTCCAAAATTTCTTGTCCCATTAGCCTCTCTTCAATTCCAATTGACACTTGGTGGTCTTAACTCATCATTCTTCTGTCCAATTCAACTTTTAAATTATTGCATTCTAGTCCCCAAACTTTGCCCTTGATGCAATTGAGTCATTTTTCCCGCTTATTTTATTTATTCTTGTATCTTCCATTGATCGTAACCTACACACAATATATACATAGGATTAAGCTACATTTCATCAAATTCATCAACAAATACTCAATTTTAACAGCCTAAATAAGTGTATAAAACTGGCTGTCGATGTAAGCTGTTAGTTCAGGTGAGGATTGTATAGCTGGGGTTTCAAATTTTGTAGAGGCTTGCGACACAAGGCACGTTGATTGCGTTTCTTATTTCTTATTCTAATCTTACAGAGCATAGTATGATCTTTTATCCGTTCTTGGTGTTCAGCATTAAAATTTAATTATTATGGTTCTTTATAAGACTTTTTAAGTTACTGATTCTCTTATAAGTTTGCTATCTACATGTGTACTTTTTTTTTTTTTTAAATCTTTTTTGGTATTCTCTTGGAAGAACATTTGGAGCGACTTTGTTGTCGTTCTATGGTGATTATCGTTATATTTTTCCACATCTTTAGACTAGATGCTGTCCTACTGAAAGTATTTTCATAACTAGATAGTGGTTATCACTTCCTCTATTTTCCGAAAGTTTCATAGTCCAATTGTACACTATAAACTTATGTATCCATCCATAAATGTATCTTTAAGACTTCAACTCATCTTATAGGAAATTGTTGGAGTTGATCTATGAGAGATCAACTTAGCACATGTTTGGTTATGTTTATAAGTACGGGAGTTCGCTATTTTTTGTAGCTCAAATAAACAAATTATGGGTCTCACATAATCGTTGTGACTCTGATTTTATTTATCTATTTATTAAAAAATAGCTTTTAAGCATAATCAAATAAGTACTTAAAATAGTTTTATTACCTATGTCAAGAAGACAATATTTTAGGCCAATGAACCAAAGTATTCCTCTCAAGGAGAGGAAACTAATAGGGTTACATGTTTCCAATCAGACTTCATTTCTTTGAACATTCCAAATGACTTAATAGATTACAACAATAACCTATGTTTTAAAATGGTGCGCGTAATCTTTTTCATTATCAATATCAACCACTTGAATCAAGTAGTTTTATTCAAGAAAACAAGTTTATTCAACCTAGAATACTTCAACTGAAACAATTGTTAAGTTTCTACTTGCAACATATTCTTCGAGTGAAAAAGTTGACTCGACTCTTGAGCCTCAACACCTCTAATCTACTAGGACTATAGTTATCTTATCTAGCATATTTCTTAGTTGAACAAGCTTACTCGTCCTTTAGTATCATCACTTGACTAGGAGCCAAGTTACCTTATTCAACTTACTTTTCAAGTGAAAAAACCTACTGTTATCCAGACTCAACCGATGAAGTTTTATCCAATTCATCCAATGATTTAGAAAGTCTAAGAATAATCTCGCTAACTAAAACCATACACGTTTGGACATGTCGACGATATTTGCCATGATGCGACAGGGACAGCAACCCAGGGAGTGCAGATTTTGTAAGGATTTGCTCTTGGTTGGATAGATAATGGTGCCACTTGATTCAAGTCGCCCTAATGAAGTACTTCAGATACGAAGTATCCCCCAATCTAGAGTAGTTAGATGGGGAAGTCAAATTAATCCATGGCTTCTCTGATACGAAATGAGCCAAGAGAGTGTGGTGGGGAAGAGGGAAACAGTGATTGGTTAGTTCACAATTCATGGAAAAAAAATTTGTCATTTACTAAAAATAAATTCAAAAAGAATAACAACAGAAGTTTTCTATTTATGTCATATGTCATTGTTTTTGCAATTATTTATGGTTCTTTAATTTGTTTATACCAGTGATTCTTAACAAGTACGAGTGCCCACAGGATAAAAATAATTCACTTTTACAAAAATTAATTTTAGCATTGGAAACGTTTTGAATTTTGATACCATATCCAATATATAAGTTTTAAAAAATAAAGAATTTCACAAGTTAAAAATAAGGATTATATCTCATCTGAACTTCAGAAGCAATATGTTCGAAGAGTTTATTAATTTCATTACTATCGATTCTAATTGAATTAGCTTGACACGATAATTTTTTTTGCAGTCTGATACAACTAACACAACTCGTGTTGATCCAATTTATGTTGATCAGTAATTTGATAAATACAAAATTGTGAACATTCAAATGTACATATCATTATTTATCTTGTTAACGATTATTTTGATTCCATCGTAAGAAAAAAAAGAATTACATGCTGCAAAGTAAGATGTTTTTGGCTTCAACACCACCAAAGTCAAGTTAAAACCAATTTTAATGGACTTTAGCACACCATTCTTTTGGTAAAACAAGAACTTCATGAATTTAGAAAAAAAAAATCAATTTTGTTCTTCGGAAAATGAAAAATGTAAATACATATTACAATCTTAGATATTGAAAAAGATAAGTTTTCTTGCCAACAAATCTTTAGTCACATATAACACGATGATGCACAGCGATTTCGTATTCGGTGGACACACTAGAGTTGTTGATACTTCAAATTATAATAATATCGTAATAAATTTTTTTTTTTGATTTGTATTATTAGGAAAAGAAATCTACGATTTGGATTTAACCCAATAAAAAAAAAAAAAGATTGGATTTTTTATAATTCTCCTGGGCTTATCAGTATTTTTGAGAAATATATTCACCATCATTAGGTATTTTAGTAATAACAAAGTATTAGGAAAAAATTAGAGATGGACTCCCAAATCTTTTAGGTAGCAATGTTTTGAGTCCCTAACCTTCAAAACTGAAGATTATGTTCCTAAACTAATATGATTATACGAATCTAATTCTTTGCATGAAAGTAGACATTAAGCCCCGTTTGGTTCTATTTTTTCACTCCAAAAAATCAAAATTTTGACCTCTATTTTCCTAAATTAACTGTCATTTTTTACTTCTGCACCACAAGTGGGGCCCATTTTCTATCTAACGGTAAAAAGATTGACTCTAATAATCACTATCGAACAAACTCTAAAACCGCTTGCCACTTTTACATATTGCACATTGGCTAGTTTGGCAATTTTACCATCCGGTTTTAAGTCACGTACAAATCTAAATAGGTCGGAATTTAGAACCTCATTTTTTAAGATTGGGGACTTAACTATACTAATTGAAAGTTCAGGGAGAAATTTTAATTTTGCCAAAGTACTAAAATTCTCATATGTCGCATAGGGAAGAGACAGAAAACAGAGCCTTATCTCCTCGTAGTAGAAGAGGCTAACTTTCCTGGAATTCGAGCTCTAATTTTAACTTGAAATGGCGAATTCTCTTTGTTCCGTACATCCCTTCAAGACCCTTGACAAACCCAGTACTCTCTCTCTACACTTATACATATTTTTATACGTAATTGTGCTTTATATGCATGTCAACTCTTGTATTTATATGAATTCACTTTATTTTTATAATGGGTATACCTTTGTGGGTGGGTGTTTGTCCGTGTATTTGTTTGTAATTGTGGAAATGGGATTGGGGCAGGGGTACTTGGATCTTCTTGGTTTTAGTTGTTTTTACATGAAATCATTTAATGTGAATTCTTGATTATTTTTTCAGGGCTTATTAGTGGTAATTTTGCTAATAGGAAGGTTGAATGGATCAATGATTGCACCACCAGTTCGAGAAAAGCTAATTTTGAAACTCTAAAGGTTAATGTGAGTGTTCATTTGCAATTTTGCACTAGAATACCTCACCTTTTTGTCATAATTCGTTGACATAGGGGTTGAGTACAAATTTTAAATAAATAAAATTTTCTGCTTAAGCTTTTAGACATGGACAGGGGTGGTGGTTCTATGTATAGAGCTTGCAAGTTACATTTGATTTCTCATTATTCATGTTCCCGGGGCTTAAAACAACTTTCAATTAGATTCCATTTTGATTGATGGATTTGAAAAATAAACGATTAATAAAAAATCGTATAATATGTGCAGAGAGAAAATAGAATTCTGCAATATGCAATTTAAATAAAGCTCAATCCAATGAAATGAGTGATAACTACTCAACTACAAGTAACGATACTTTTTTTTTTCCTCGTACATCTCTAATGATTTGTTTCATGGATTGAAGATGTAACTACAAAACAAAAGTCTCATCAAATTGTTGATCGCTTAAACCAAACACAATAAAATGTTATCTTGGCTATAAGGCATTCGGTCCTTTTTTTAACCTTAAGGTGGATGCTATTATCCCAATCTGGCTCATTTGAGACCTCCTATTATTGTGCTAAGGTTTTTTAGCACTTCTTTTCTTCCTTTGCTCCATGTTCCCATCATATTTGTTTTTAATGCATTGTGTATCTGATATTCAGTCTTGCTTCAATCTACAGGCTACAGACAACAAACCAAGCACCAAATCAAATAGCATACTTTGTGCTGATTGTGAGGGTAATGGTAAGTTAATGAATTACAGTCTAGAGACTACTGTTATATTCATGATCGGCACAATTAGTTTTTCTTTGTTATTTAAATTATGCATCTTATGTAGACAGGACAAATGTTTTTTAGAGTGCACTTTCTGTGTTTTTAGAAAGTATATTATTTGCGGTTACATTTTTGAAGGTGTCAAATTTTTTTTTATTGTTAATTTAGGGTTTGTCTTGTTAGTTTAATACCAAAAGTTTAAAACAATTATTTTAAATTCCATTATGGTTATTTTCAATTAGATTATTCATCACGGATCAATAATCTAACTTGATTGTCACTTCATTCCTTCTATTTGTCACATCATTGGCATTCATTCGTCTCTTTTTGTGAAAATGTATGACATTTGTATTTTTCCCTTAAGGGTATCAGTGGGGCATTCGAAGCATTTTAGTTTCATAATTTAGTTAATTTTGCATTCAGGATGAAAGCAATCCTCAATAGGACTGCACTAGGAACTCTTTTAATAGTTCTTAATATATACTTGAGTGATGTTTGTCCATGCAAACCTACTGAGCACTAGAGATCATTTGAGTAATAGTCTCTTCATTTGCCTACTGAGCACCAGAGATCATTTGAGTAATAGTCTCATCATTTGCACTTTTATAGATGAATAGGTTTGCTATTTTCTTGTTACATCGATTCTCCTATTTTTCTCCTTCTGATATTTTCTTGGGCAGAGACTTCATTTTCTTATCAACCTACACAGATCAATTTTTCTTTATCCGGCAAAGCTTTTCTCGTTCATATGATAATTTGAATTTCTAATCTTAACATATTTATACGAAGTCTGGAAGGGAATTGATCTTTTTTGTTTTCTTGAGTAAAGCTTTTGCACAAAGCATTGCCATTTGTGTATGATTTTAGCTTCCCGTTAGTTGGTGGATGAGTAATTGTTAAAACTTTACTGGAGTTGAAGACTAATTTTAATTGACAGATTAATCCCCATTTGAGCCCCATTTTTCGGAGATAATGTATTTTAGAATAGAGATTTTTTGGGAAAATTTTTGGTTTTATGTGTAAAAATATTTTATGGGAGAATATGTGGTTGAAAATGACTTTTGAAAAAATGAATTTTGAAAATAACGGGGCTCAAACAGGGGCTAGTATGTTGCTGGCTCTGCTTGCGTTGTCATGCTGATGCTTATGTGACTTTTCTTTCCTTGATCATCTGATTATTGGCTTCACAATGTTTCTTTTTCCAATTTACATTTTTCAGGTGCTGTACCATGTTCACAGTGCAAAGGTTCTGGAATAAACTCTATAGATCACTTCAATGGGCAGTTCAAAGCTGGAGCATTGTGTTGGCTTTGCAGGTACGCTCGCCGGTTAATTTTGCTTTTTGTCAAGCTTTTGACATTGAACCCAAAATACTCTTGTATCAATATTTTTAACAAACGTCATTCTCATCCCGGCTCACAATTTATAAAAGTTTTAAGCTTTTGAGACTTTCCAAATTTAAGTTGATAAAATATCAAACTCAAACCTTTAAACTTTGTCTGCCTTTAGCGTCCTATCTTGTGGCACCCACATTGGCTCGCTGGAAATTGTTTCGCGCGGGTAGTCGTTAACAATTAAAAAAGGGATCAGACAATTGTGTAAGGAACAGACCTCTTGAGACAAAGTTCCAAAAATGGAGTGTTTTATTGGCGATAATTTACAATTGGAAATAAACAGAATGCCTCTAAGGGGCGCAAGCACACGAGTGCTAAAAGAAGTGTTTAAATTTAAGCTAAGAAATTAAAATTACATATTCTTTATTTAAGAGTGTTTGATTCCGGCCTTTTTCTCTATATCTTCTCTTCCTTTTCATATTCCTTGATGATTTCCTCGTGACAAACCATTTGGAAATTGCTTGATTGTTTTATAACTACCCACTTTCGTTATAGTGGCTAACTTGTCGTGGAACTGCCGTCTCTAACTATTACCACTACTCTTTGTCGTTCAACCGTTTTCAACTGAACTCCTTGAATCTTGGAACATGATAAAGTTACTCAATAACTGTTTCAATAACTGCACTTCTGGATAATTATAACATCTTATGTTTGCTAAAATCCTGGGCGATTCGAAAGTTTGGGCGAGAACAGGGTCATAGCTCTGGGTGACTGTAAGGCACTTCATTCGCTCAGATCTTGGGCGTCTTGCAAGCTTGGGCGATGATATTACCGTGTTCGTAGGCTTCCATTGCACTCATTAATAACTCTATCTGGGCCTTTATCCTGAATTGCCCAGTTGGTATTCATTCTTTTCCCTATTTGATTTGGGAATTCCCCAATTGGGCTTCATTCTTTGGGCTATTCGATTTGGGCTGCACATTTAATGTGTCAACAATTACCCCCCCCCCCCAAAATATGGCAGAATTAATACCAATTTTTAATCTTTGCCATATTT